AAACAAGTAATTAAAGCATAAAGTTTCTTTCTCAGTTTCTTTCTCAAATTACAAACATTTACCGGTTTTACAGTGTGATTATGCATCTGCATTATGCAACTCCTTTATTTGTGTTTTGCTTAATATACATGATGCTGCTGCAACAATTTCCATCAAATCTGAATTATTTCTTCTTGTTGATCATGAAAATAATGTTATTCTGCACTGAATGAAGCCTTTTTAAAAGAGGTTCACATGAATTTACCAAAGTGTGACAGAAGAACTCCAAAGAAAATTGAAATCTAAAAAAAAAACTGTAGAGCTTATTTAGATCCAAGAATGTTTTTTACAATTGGAAAAAGAAAAAGCTGAAAAATGTTGTGAGGAAAATGTTGTTTTGGGGAGTCAATGGTTCATAAAACATGGCAGTGTAACTTTTGTTTGTTTTTTTGACTCATGATGACTGATTCATGATAGCATTTTGTTTGCAGAAGATTTTGATATTTGAAAAGTGTATTTGTTTTTGTCTGCATTCATGCAGATAAACATGATTTATTTGAAAATGGAGGTGGAAAAAGTTTGAACAAGATTGTGATTAAGCAGGTACAGTGCATGGATGTTTGTACGTATGTGTGTATGTGTGTATGTGTGTATGCGTGTGTGTCTGTCAGACAGTAAAGAGAGCTCAAAGAGAAGAGAAAGTGTGATTGTGAATCACATCACATCAAGTGTCAGCACGAGTGCGTCAGCATACGAGTGAGAATTTACTTGTGAAATTGTGTATTTCTGACATATGCAAGTGTGTGTGTGTGTGTGTGTGTGTGTATGTTCATATGCGCGTGTGTTTCCCAAAGTCCATTAGCTGTAAAGACAAAATAAGGAATAGAGTTTGTAATAACTTTCAATTCAACTCATTCATGAAAGGCTCTTGTTAAAAAAAGAAAAGAAAAAGAAAACAAAGATAAATTCAACATACTTTAAATTAATTTCAGGTACAGCATTTTCAGTTGTTTTAGTTTTACTTTATAGTTTGACTTGACTAAATTAAAAGTAAACTGAAACAACTTAATTACAAGTTGTTTTGTCCCATCAACAGTTCAGACGTTCCCGAACTTGACGTAATATTTGTAAACTGAAGAAACTATTATAAGTTCCACACTGTACATGCGAGCATATTTGTCTGTCTGCGTGTATTCATGTGAGCCTGCCTGTTGATATTTTGACCAACAGCGTCAGACAAATATCCCAGGAAATACACTTAACCACCTGACGTGTGTGCGTGCACGATTACAAAAAGAAAGGAAAGGATGTGACGTATTGTCTATTTATATTTGTGTCTGTGTGTGTGTGTCTGAATGTGTGTGAATTAAATGGACTGTATGCTGTGATGCTTCATTCACCTACGTCTATGGAGCCACAGAGGCAGCTTCACAGCACTGATGACGTCCGGACATGCACTGCTGCTGTGTGTTTTTGTCTCTGTTTGTGTGTATTTTTCTGTGCTTCCGTGTGTGTGTGTGTGTGTGTGAGTGTGTGTTTGCTACGTAAGGGGTCACAAAGTTACCCCTTACCTTCAAATCCCACTTTCCTGAATCATTTTCCAACACCACCTATGGGAATAGCCGACTACTTTCTTTTGAGTCATACACTCAAAAGAAAGCATATAATATAAATAGTGTGTGTGTCGGTTAGGGGAAGTTAAATGACAGATTCAAAGTCATATATACTGTACATATGGTGTAAAAAGTAGATGCTGCCTTTACCAGGCGGGTAGAGTCTGCTACAGGACATCCTGGCAAGGAATAGAAACCTCCGATCCATATTGACATGGCATTTTGCCCTCTGGTAGCACAAACATTCACACACCCACTGCACCACACTTCTGTCCGGAAATGTGCCCCCACCAAACCACACCTCTTAGCTGCAAAATATTGACTTTTCTTTGAAAAAATAACATGACATGATGAATAAAAATCACCTGCTGAATTTTTAATTTTATGTTTTTAAAGATGTTGCTACATACATAATAGTCACATTTGTTTTTATATCCTTATGTAATCACCACAAATATTTAAAACTATTAAGATAACTGTACTCAGTGTTGCTGAATATCCAAAGTTAATATCATACAAAGGTATCAGTCAGGAATATTCTCTTCTTATTATATATGTTTCTTTACACTTCTAACTGATTATCTAACAGGACATTTTATGCTCATGCCTCTGTGATGGGTAACATTTACAATTTACAGCAAGAAGATTTTCCCACAACCAGTGTCTTCACTCACTTTATTTCTTTATAGATGAATGAATATGGGAATATCAAATCAGCAAGGAAAACATTCTCAGATTTTCTGTTGTACATGTAGCACCACTGTCCTCAAACCACCAAGGTTTGTCTATGATTCAGTGGTGTAGCATTACATACACAGTCCAATGTAAAAACATGGAAAATTAAATTAAAATGTAACAATTATATATATATATATATATATATATATATATTGCTATTTTTTTTAATTGAATTGATTGAAATGATCACAAGACCATAACTGGTCCACACTCACTGTAACAACTCAAGTAATATATTTAAAAGATCACATTTAAACATGTGGTTGGAGGTGATGAAACATTTTACATATCTACTTGTTTTCCATCAGTGTGACAAGATGATAGAATGATGAGTGTTTATCCAGGCAAAAATATGAGTAAATTAAGCTAAGTCACCTGCTAAGTGGATGTTGAACTTTGTGTTCTGACTGGTTAAACCTCTATAGGGTTGTGTACATTATGTTGGTCACCAAACCAAAATGAACCGAGATTAGTTCTATCAACCACAAGCTCAACCTGCTTCAGTAGCACAAAGAGGAGGAGATGAACCAACTCACTATCCTAAGAAATTAAATTTTGTATTCATTTGTTATCATTTATTTCCAAAAGTAAAAACTGCGATTGGTATTAAATAACTTTCTTTAAAAACAGTGGTGGTTAGAATTTTTATAAAGAGGTACTGTAGGGTGCGCTCCAATTATTGGAGTATCACACTGTCACACCGCTTAGCCTCACTGGGAAAGCTTATTCAGAGGCGCTGGAAAGGAGGCTCTAACCGACTTTAGAACCTCAGATCCTGGAGGAGCAATGTGGACTCCATCATGGTCGTATAACAGTGGAACAGCTCTTGCCCTCATTGGGTGGGGGGTCATGCGAGTTTCCTCATCCAGTCTAGGTGTGTTAATTTGCAAAGCAAGGTGTTTATTTGCTAGGTGAGAATAAATTTACAATGTGTCACGATTCTGCCTGTCTGCCCGGTCTTGGTTTGTTACCTCTGCCTGTTTTGTAGTTTATTTGATTAGTATCATTCTGCCTTAGTCTGTTCTGTTTTAGTTATCCTAGTCTGCTCTGTCTGTGGTTTCTGTATGTGTGTCCTGCGTTTGGGTCCTCAACCTGCTTTTGCCTCTGCACTGGGCACAATCCTGACACAATGATGGTGAGACAGGTGGTCCAAAAGGCAACAAACCAAAATCAAAAACAATGCAATAATCCAGGCATAGGAGACAGGCGAAAACCAAAATACAAAATTCAAAGTAATCCAACACATAGGCACATAAGATAAGCAGAGACGCTCGACAAAGAACAAACACAATGTGAAAAATGACAAAGAACACATATATACATATATATATACATATATATATATATATATATATATATATAAAGAGAGTTGATTAACAAGGCACAGGTGAAACCGATCAGGGTGGAGCAAACAGTCAGAAAAAACACAAGAGCAGGAAACAAAGTGAACGAGAACAAGAGGTATGGGTAGCAAAGTAAAACAGGAAACACAGAACAAATTAATAAATGACACAAGGAAAAGACAACACAGTGAATGAGAAAAGACAGGAAGAGCAAGAGTTTAACAAAATAAAACAGGAAACAAAAACATCAAACACAAAACCATAACAATGTTTTTTGTGGACTTGTAGAAGGCTTACGACCGTTTTCCCTGGGTAGCCCAGTAGGGGGGTACTGCAGGAGTATGGGGTACCAAGGCCATTGCTATGAATCATCAGGATCTCATATAACTGGAGTGAGAGTGGTGTCCGTCTTCTCAGCAGGAAGTCAAATATGTTTTCAGTGGGTATTTGGCTCAGCCAGGTTTGTCCCTTGTCACCAATTCTGTTATTTTCTTGGACAGGACCCTAAGGCACTTCTCTACACTTTGCAGATGATGTGGTTCTGTTGGCTTTATCAGACCGTGACCTTCAGCACGCACTGGGGCTGTCTGCAGCTAATTGTGAAGTTATGCGGGCGTTGTACCAGACTGACATGAAGACTTAAGTCAAAGCTTTTGATTTACCAGTCAAACGCTGCTTCTTCGCATCAAATTGTGACAGTTGAGGTGGTTTGGTATCACTTGGGAGATTTTTGGGCACGTCCAACTGGTAGGAGACCCCCGGTTAAACCCCCAAAACACCCTGGAGAGATTATATATCTCATCTGGCTTGGGAATGCCTTGGGATCACCGAGGACGAGCTGGAAAATGTTGCTGGGGTGAAAGATGTCTAGACTACCTTACTCAGTCTGCTGCCACTGTGACCCGGCCCCGGATATATGGCAGTAAATGGATGGATGGATGCTTCACTAAATGATAATCTTACGACATGCAGCATATTTACTTGCAGAGTTTATGTTTTTGGCATTTAACAGGAATCCCAAATTGAAAAATTAACTCAAGTTTTACAAGATCTTTCCAGCCCTAAACCATGCTACATCAGCCCCATGAGTAAACAGAAAACTCCCAAGAGCTTTTGCATATTTTAAAAATGTCCTTTCCTGTTCTTATATCTTGTTTTAACATTGTGTCTGGTTTTGTCTTTTTTTTTGTCACCACAAGCTGCTTTTAACATCCTTGATTTTGATTAGCAAATGAAAATGGAGGCTATGTGTGTGTGTCACATGTAGTCACCCACATCACATGCAAGTATTGAAGAGAGACCTTCCACAGGGGAAGTGTGGATGTACCTTAATCCTGCAGCATGAAGATGCACGGGTTGGAGAGATGGAGAAGAAGGGGGTGAAGAAGAAAAAGAAGGTGCTCAAGGTGGAGAAACAGAATGGGAGAAGCTGAAGTAGGATGAAGTAAAGGAGGAGGAGGAGGAAAACTCATCAGCCGGGTTTCAGTCAGTCAGGATTTCCCCTCTGTCAATCCTCACCTCGGGCCCCTGAGAGAGATGGAGTGAATAAGAGAGGAGGATAAAGACGGAGTGAGGGAGAGAGACAGAGACAGATGAGAGAGAGATGGAGAGGGGAATCACAAGTGAGACAGAGGCAAAAAGGAGAAGAGACAAGGAGACAGGAGAAGAAACAAGGAGAGCAAAGAAGAAACCAGTAAGGAAGTACTTTTAAAAATCCAAGCAGGGAAGACAGTCATAAAGTCAAACGGATCAGATGAGAGTTGCAGTTAGTATTAGTGCATGTTACCAGATGAGATTATGTATGTTCTTCTAATTTAAAGTCATAATCCTTAAGATTTTCATGAAATCAAACCCCATTTTTCATATTATTTAGAATTTTCTGCAATAGCCATCCAATGTATTTATATTCTGTACTTGGTAGTGGTGGAGACCGCCATTCCCGTGCTGGATTACCTATTCACAAGGGATTTGCAGGAAACTATGGATACTATTTTATTCATTTATTGTGCTATTTATATATGCTTTTATTGTGAAACAGCCACAGGAAAGATAGTATATTTGTCACATGCTAACCGGGATTGTTCGAGAGAGAACAGCCACAGTGTGCTGATGATATCGGCAACAGGCTGCACACCTTCAATTCCTCAGCAAGCTAAACAACTTTCTGCTGTTGCTGTTGTGTTCATTTTTGAACTTCTTTTTTAAAACAATGTGAATTGGTTTGGATGCACTTTACACTTATATAGCTACCTGTTGCTCTGCTCTGATTTCTGACAAAGTATCTGCTTAAAGAGTGCTGTAGTATTAAACTGTACTTCCTGTTACCATGGTAACCAAGAGTGTTGCTAAATCAATCACGACTGAAATAATAAAGTATCACAACTTTAACTGGTTTCCAATTATCAATGATTTTCCAAATCTTTACAGTGTTTCTTTACAACCTATACTCACAGGAAGTGTGAAAAGCCCATTTTCCTGACTGTATTTACATTTTATCATCTAAATATTTATTTATGACAGGTTATATGTTTCTCATTTGCTGAAAGGAGGAACTTGTTTTCTTTGCATGACTTTTTTTTAAAGATCTGAATTTACCACCTGGGTAAACTTGCAGATTTGAGTTCAGCTCCCTGAGGTCTAGCTCTAGCAAGAATTGTTAATGTTTGCCAAACGTTTTTGGACTAACAGACATCATGACAATAGAATATACGTGCTCTAGGGATTCATACATTTAGCCCCAGAGGAGAGCCAGGCTTTATCACATTGAATTCTTTAAGTGAGCAGCTGAAGATGGATAATACACTGAAATGATCAGTTCAGTCAAATAAAATAAAAATAAAAATTCACTTATCTTAAGTCATGCAGATATGTTTTGTTTCATTTGTTCAGGTTTTGACATATCAGTGTTTTTTAACTCCATGCACCCCAATAAAATGGAGGTGAATGGAATTTTGTTTCTCAAGTCCAAAGAACTCAGTGTGAACAGTTTTATAGAAGATTTTGTATAGATTTAATTTATTAAAACCACAATTACATTTACCTCCATTGTATTGGGGTAGATGCAGAATCAGGGACAAATATCTAAAAACCTGACAATCTGCATGACAGGATACCACTAGACATAAGTGAGAAATGTTTTTGCAATTTTGGTGAAACGATTCTTTAAACTATACTGACTGTAAAGAAAAAGAGACAAAGCGCGACTGAGGGGATTTGGTGCTGAAAATAAACCTAGAAGTGATCAAACTGATAAAATGAAGCATAAGTTGCCCAAAAACTCAAATGTTGTTAATTTTCAACAACATAAACTGAAACTCAGTAACATGCGCTAGTTTATAGAAGCCAAAAACTGAACTAGGAATGCTGTTGCTAAAAACAGCTGAAAAGAGATTCTAAACATTCCTGTTGTTCCTCTATCATATTAAAAAGGGTAAAATGTCGTTTTCAGCGGCCACAAGCAGCGCAATTTTCATTACCAGGTGTGTGCTCGTACCAGTCTGTGGATCGTACGTGCGCTCAACTTGAACTCATGAGCGAGCATAATACGAAACACAACCACTTTCATACAGAGATCCCGCAATAAACACTGAAACAACGGCATGCCAGTGTTATGCCAATTTCTGCATGCCCGCCGCAATTTGCTTGCACCTCACGGGAGGTAAAGCTCATAAATGCCTATGCTTAGAAAAGAGGTGGATGCAAATCTCGGCAGGTAGCCTTCATCATTATGGAAGATTTAATTGGACTTTAATATTTGTAACCCACAGAAGACAATCTACAAATGTGGTCACAATGATGCGCAAATATTTCACTATCTGTAAATGTGTATTTTTACATTTGTGATGTGTAAAATCATATCCACAAAAATACAGGGTGATGTGTACACACAAAACTGTTTTTACACATTTGCAGATTACTTCGTGGGTCATGTTACATTTGCAACTTCCTTTTTACACATTTATGTAATTATGTCCAATGTGTACTGCAGAGATACATTTATCTGACGCTTTTATCTAAAGCAACTTACAATTGCTATACATGTCAGAGGTCGCACTGGAGCAACTAGGGGTTAAGTGTCTTGCTCAGGGACACAATGGTGCATGGGTCACAGTGGGGGATTGAACCCGGGGTCTCTCACAGCAAAGGCAGGCATCTTATCCATTGCACCATCACCACTCAATTGGTAAATAAATATATACACAAATATCACATGATTTGCAAATACACGCAATGTAATCTGTACAAAGCTCTTTTTATTTCACATACAAAGTGTTGTTTACGCATTTGTAGATCCATTTCTACACACAAAACTGTTTTTACACATTTGCGGATTGCTTCCTGTCAATTTGCAGGTCACGTGACATTTGTAACTTCCTTTTTACACATTTGTGGAATTTTGTCCACTCTGTCCCGCTGAGATCTGTAAACAGAGATCTGTAAGTTTGAGACTAATTTACTAGCTACACCAGCAGGTGGCAACAGCGACATCCTCTCACATGAATTGAAAGGATATTCAAGGCGCCAGAGCCCTCTGCACGGCACTAGCTAGCTTCATCCTCGTCTGGAGGACTGTAGCCTTGTTTCAACCAGCAGCGGAAAAATAAAGTGGAGAATCTTCTTTTAACTCAACGCTGGTGATTCAGGATCGGGTTCATCCTTGTCCTCTCAAGGTAACATTAAGTCTGCTGTGCAGTTTGCTAACTTTGTGTCTCCTGTGGTGAGTTAGCTGTGTAACGATAGCCCACTTTACACATAACAAGCTCATATTAAATCATTTAGTTCACCTGGAGAGATTTTATGATTTTCACAATAATTGGTTATTCCCTCTACAACTGGAGTTAGCCAATGCCAGTCTCTCATATAGCCTCCATTTACCGCAGTCCGGTGATCAGTTAACTATATACCTTATAACTAAGTTATAAGGTATATAGTGATAAAATCAGTAGGCTAGGATAGTTTGACAGATGAGTGCAGAATGATCATTATCTTAGTGACAGTAAACCATGACGTCACCAGTGTTGGGCAGTAACGCGTTACTGTAATAAAATTACTTTCCCCAGTAACTAGTAGTGTAACTAATTACTTTTCTAAAACAGTAATATTATTACAGTTACTAAAGCAAGTAACGCTCGTTACTGAACACACCACGACTGTGCGGCAGGTCAGCGGGACCGGACTTTGTTGTTCATGTCAGCTGATAGCCAAACACTAAAGGAGGAATGGAGAACGAGGGAGAGAGGCGTTCTTTCCACAGCTGGAAGTAGCTACTGCCATTATTGTGTCACAGCCTAAGATGCAAAGGACATAGTCGTCTAGTGTAAACTCTGTGCGACCAGCAAAAAGCTTTCATCCGCAAACATTTCTACATCTGATTTATTAAAGCATCTGCTGAAGCAGTGTTTCCCATAATTAGCCTATAATTTGGATAGGACCGCCACATATTGATTTTCTAATTGGAAATTAAAAATGTCACGTGACCTGCAAATTGACAGGAAGCAATCCGCAATGTGCTAAAACAGTTTTGTGTGTAGAAATGGATCCACAAACGCGTAAATCACACTTTGTATGTGAAATAAAAAAATCTTTGTACAGATTTAATTGTGTGTATTTGCAAATCGTGTGATATTTGTGTATATATTTATTTACAGATCTCTGCAGTACACATTGGACATAATTACACAAATGTGTAAAAAGGAAGTTATAAATGTAACATGACCCACAAATTCACACGAAGTATACTGCAAATGTGTAAAAACAGTTTTGTGTGTACACATCACCCTGTATTTTTGTGGATATGATTTTTCACATCACAAATGTAAAAATACACATTTGTAGATAGTGAAATATTTGCACATCATTGCACACATTTGTAGATTGTCTTCTGCCAAATTATGCATCCACCCCCTAGTCAGTGTCCTTTTCAGACACTTTGCTGTGCACATGGATCAAATGCAGTTATCATGGTATATTTTTGCTGAATCTCATGGAATGCTACTTCTACTAAGTGTAATAAAATATTGATGACTCAAAACGTTCATAAAATATACACTTCAAATCATTTATGACCATTGATTAAATCCCACAAAGAATATTATTGTTAGGAATGTGGTTTTTGTGTTCATGTTTCCTGTTTAAGTCTGTTTTTGGTTCCGTGTTTCTCTGTGTAGTCTTGCTTAGTTAGCTCCTAGTTTTGTGTCTCAGTTCATGTCTTAGTGTTTCCTTCTGGTCTGTGTTCTTATGTGTTATTTTGCCCATGTCTAATCTGAGTTCTGTTTTGTCCTTGTTGTTAATGTATGGTGTTTTGCATCTGTAAGTGTCTCTCTGTTCCCCCCTGCTGTTTCTCTGCCTGTCTGCTTGTCTCTCTATTTTCCATACGCTCGGCCTGCCTCGTTAGCCCTGATCCCGCTCACCTGTGTTGCTCCCGCCCCGCTCGTTAGTCCCTGTGTATATGTATGCCTGCTTGTGTCTCCAGTCTTTGTCATGTCCTGTGCGTCTAATGTTGAGTGTTCCTGCCTGTTCCTTCGTTT